CAGAGGCTATGTACCAGGACAGAATTAACACCAATTTTAAACCACTGTATCGAATTGTAGACAGGGAGGGAGCCATCGTTAATTCACAACAATACTTCCAAAGGCTAATTCATATAAAACGCGGCTATAAAAGGAACTTGACATCTTATATGTAATTAAAAATAACAATTACCTTATATTTATTTTCCCAGCCAAGATGGCGCTAGCAACTGAAAAATAATTTTCTTCACCCCATACAGTACGTAGGCCAAGGTCACTCTAAAACCAGGGGGTATGATCACCGACCCAGACGTAAAACTCTGTCGGCTTTGTCGCACTAGCTCATATGCATAAGCATAAGCCGACATATGCAGACGCACCAAGATCTTGGTAATTAATTAGCTTCTTTTGTTAGGAATATTTCCAAGGAAAGGCGCTAATTATCAACATCTAACGGCATCTGCGTATGTTAGCTTACGCTTATGCATTAGGGAGAACCAGCCTATACAGCGTGACATCTTTTCATTTCATTTTACACTTGGGAGGAATGAACACTCAATATGCATGAACCTCCGTTGCAGCCGGCTAATTCATTATCAAACACGCATTGACTACATCCTAATTAGCTTTAAGCCGCTACAATGCAATGAACATGTCATGATCATTTAGTTTCGTTTTTCTTCTTCCTGTTGCTTGTTTTTAAAACACTGCAGCGACGCTGCTTGGTCGCTGGCTGAACTTTTTGTGGCTGTGACGCAACTCATCACGTAACTGCCGAATAGTAAAAGAGCCATTAAAGCACGATGAACACGATTGATTACTTACTATAAAGTCCTCTTGAAAGACGATTGGCATGTAAATTAAGCTAGCTGCGTAATTTGCATGTTTTTATAAGGTATTACATGTACACTGTAGCTCATATAAGGTCATATAAGGTCATATAAGTTCGACACAGGTACGCAGTGCCATTGGAATTTCTCGTACTAAACTGACCACGACTGGGAAACACACAAGATATATGACTCTATGACAAGAATATAACACACATAACAGTACTACATGTCGAAACAAACAAACTTTTCCTCCAAATTATAGCTGTTAGATTTCGATATGAGTTTGCTATACCTCATTAAGTTTACTATCGAGTACAAAGGAATACCACAGAAACAGTTTATTAAGACCTGGGCTACCGAGGCCGATGTAGCACTGAAAGCCAAAGAAAAGGGCAAAATACTTCAAATATGGAAGGTAAGTAAAAAAAAAATATCTTTATACTATTTGCTCTCTTTATTTCAACGGCAAAACTGGGATATTGGGTCAACAATTCAACATAAGTCAATAACACAAAAGGGATTTGGACAACTGGTCCGGCGGTTACAACGACTTCGTACTGCTTCGGTAAAGTGGAGGACAGCTCCGAAAAAAGCTTGGTTCTGTCAAAATTAAACAATTTCGCAAGACTTGAGATTTTTATATCATGCTGACGGTTAATTAATCAATTACGTTTCTTCATCTGTTATAATGATATGCGGGGTCGTTTGTTTACTTTCGCGTAACAAAACAACGCCAAACATACTTTAGGCGAACTCTGCGTGATTGTAATAAGTTCCACTATTACAGTTACCCAACGACGATTTTCTCTAAAATGCTTTAAAACGGTGCCGTTTTAAGCTATCTGCAGTGCTATTTAAAGGTCTTTAAAGCCCTGTAGCTTAATTTTAGGCTGATTGTTCAGTCATTTTAGGGGAACTTGAGTTTTCTTGAATTTAATATTGGCGCTTTTTTGTCATTCCGAACAGATAATTAACCGAAGCGATCCCTTGGGTTCCCCGGATTAAGCGCACCGTGTTCGCCGACTGGCAATGTTTGAACGACAATATCTAGAGCAATTCTGAAACATCTGTAAAATTGAGAAACGTACAATAACCGGAAATCAATATTTGAACGTCGTACGTGTTTCGGCTGATTGTGTTCAAGGAAGCAGAGAACACTTATGCTGTGTTTAGACTTGAACGGTTTACCGAGGTATCAGAGTTTACTTACCTAGTTAAACATTTTCCGTGTGTAAACGCCAACT